TTATTATAAGTAGTTTTGTGTATCAACACAATCAAAGGAATTTTTTTGAAAATTCACTTGCACACCAAGTGTTTGATAAATCCATTCAACTAGTTCTTTTAAATATTGCCATTGGAAATAACGTTACTAGTAACTTGTGATAAACGTTAAATAAGTTGTTAAGTGATTCAAGTACATTAATTTAATTTGTTATTCTCATTTCATATTAAATTTGTTGTTACGGTTTGCATATCCGAGTTTTCAATAAAGTTTGTATAGACGATATTTTGAAAAAGCTTATGCGTCACTCTTTGATAAAACAACTTTTTCAAAATCAGATTTTTGTATAAATTTTTAAAAGGGTATCTATTCACCCCCCTATAGATACGTTGTCATCGTCTAACAAGTGGCATCAAGAGCCTGGTTTATTCCGGCTTCGATACTCTTAGAAAATGAATTACAAACCTAAAAGGGATTATAAATGAGCCCCGATTTTCACGGGAGAGAATTATAGTTATTGGAAAGCTTGTATGCAAATTCATGTCAACTCATATGACAAAGATGTTTGGGAAGCCATTCAAAATGGTCCAACACTGGTGAAATATGTTGTTGATGGTGCTACTGTACCTAAGCTGAAAAACATATGTAATGATGATGATAATAAGAAGTGGATTCACAATTTGAAAGCAAAGAACATCATTGTATCCGCTCTTGGTGTTGATGAGTTCTATCGCATTTCCCATTGTCAAACTGCTAATGCTATGTGGAATTCTCTACAAGTTATCTATGAGGGAACTAATGAGGTCAAAAAAACTAGAATTAATACACTTAATAAAGAGTTTGAACTCTTTTACATGAAGCGAGGGGAAACCATTGCTCAAATGCAAAAGCGGTTCTTGCATCTTATTAATAGTTTAAATTTACTAGGTAATCCTATTTCTAATGTTATTGCTACTAACAAGGTGTTGATATGTCTTACTAGGAATTGGCAACCAAATGTCACCGTGAACAAGGAAGCCAACAATCTTACAACACTCGATCTCACCATATTGTTTGGAAAGTTAGAAGAACACGAGTAAGAACTCAATTGCTTGGATAAACATGAAAAAAAATCTTGAGAAAAAGAAAAAGGAAAAATGGGTTGTTAAGGAGGAAATCTTGAAGTCTAAAACTCTCAAGGCTTCAAGCTCAAAGTCCTTAAGGGACGGGCTCACTAATGATAGTGACTCTAGCAATGAAGAGAATTCAGATGATGAAGAAATGGAATTATTTGTAAGGAAATATAATCGATACATTCAGAAGAATGGTGTCAATCACTCCTATAATAATCTTGCAAAATTTAGAAGACAATCTTCCTCATCTAAAGATGAATACAAAAAAAAGGACAAGGGAAAGTGTATTTGTAACGAATGCGGAAAACCGGGTCATTATAGACCGGATTGTCCAACTCTTGCTAAGAAGAAAGGAAAGTACAAACGAAACAACTCTAGAAATTCTATACAAGCCTATGTTGCTTGAGATAGTGATAGTGATGTCTCAAGCAATGAAAGCTCAAGCGAGAGCGATGAAGAGGCAAACTATTGTATCATGAAAAATTATTGTCAAGGCAAGAAAAAGGATGTAAGTCATTCTAAATACTCTAATATTGCAAATTTGTCTTTTAATGAGTTGAAGAATAAATTTGAAAATCTACAAAAAGAGACTTATATGCTAACAAAAAGTTGGCCTCCCAAGAAAAGATTTTTATATATTTGAAGGCCAAGGTTGAAGAAACAAATGAAAAATTTGAGGCATTAAAGAAACTCATTTTAGATAGTTCAAATTGTGTAAAGGAGGATGAACAATCTTGTAAATTTGGATGTGAAACATGACAAATTTGGCAACAAGAAGTGAGTAATATTGAAACCAAATTAGAAAAAATACATCAACCCATTGATACTATTGCTATTAGATGTTTAAAGGTTGAAAAGCCTTATAAAAACTATAACTTGATTAAGAAAAAGTCTAATAGCATACGTGATTCTCATCATAGGTTATTTTGTCACTATTATTGTAAAAAAGGCCATATTATTGAAAAATGCAAATTTAGGTGCTTCTTGGTTCCTAAAAGGAATTTTCAATGGTTGCCCAAATGCAACAATTATTTAACTCTCTCTCAAGGACCCAATGAGAATTGGGCACCTACTGTTTTTGTTTGATTTTTGTAGGATGAGTGTCTTGATGCTATGACGGGAAAATGGATTCTCGATAGTGGATGTTCAAGGCACATGACAGAGACATATCTCTCTTCTCCAACTTTGTGGCGAAGAAGAAAGGTTTTGTATCCTATGGTGATCACAATAAAGGTGCAATACTCGGAAAAGGTAGTATAGGCAATCCCTCAACTATTACTATCTCAAATGTTATGTTAGTTGAAGACCTTAGACATAATCTTTTTAGTATTAGTCCATTAATGCGATAATGGTTATAAGATAACTTTTGCCAAAGATTATTGTATAATAGACATAATGAAAAGAAATATTATATGCTTAAGAGTGTGAAGGTTAGTAATATTTATATGCTTTACTTAAGAGAAATTTCCTTGAATAATTCCCAATGTCTTGTTACCTTGAGTGAAGACTCTTGACTATGGTATATACGTTTGGCTCACGTTAACTTTGATCTACTTAACACAATTATCACAAAAGATTTAGTAATCGGTCTACCAAAATAAATTTTTCAAAAGACCATCTATGTGATACATGTCAAAAAGGTAAGCAAACAAGGGTCTCTTTTAAATCAAAAAATATTATTTCAACATCGAGACCACTTGAACTCCTTCACATGGATTTATTTAGTCCCCCACAGACTAAAATCATAGGTGGAAATTACATGGTCTTGTAATTTTAGACGATTACTTTAGATTTGTTGGACTATTTTCTTACGTAGCAAAGATGAAATATTCTCGGCTTTCACACATTTTGCCAAGATAGCTCAAAACAAATTAAATTAAAAAATTGTTGTCATTCGAAGTGATCATAGAGGTGAGTTTGAAAATTATCTATTTGAAGAATATTGTAATAAATTTGGAATTGAACATAACTTTTTAGCTCCTAGAACTCCACAACAAAATGGTACTGTGGAGCGTAAAAATCGTGTTTTAGCGGAGTTGACAAGAACAATGCTCAATGATTGTGGTCTACCAAAATATTTTTAAGTCGATGCTATTAGCATGGCATGTTACGTCTTAAATATGATACTTATTCGTCCCATTCTTGACAAAACTCTCTATAAACTTTTAAAAGGTAAAAAACCAAATTTATCTCATCTTCATGTCTTTGAATGTAAATGTTTTGTTTTAAATAGTGGAAATGTTAATCTTGAAAATTTGACGCGAAAGTCGATAAAGGTATTTTTCTTGGATACTCTCAATCTAGTAGAGCATATAAAGTTTATAACAAAAGATTACTTATTATTGAGGAGTTCGTCCGTGTTACTTTTGACGAGACTTCCCCAAATAGTGTTGGAAAATATAGTTCTTTTCATGGTGTAGGTGCATCTACAGAAGACATACTCAAGGACATCAATAAAGGAGTTGATCAACCTAAATTGGTAGAAATTGAGAAGGATGAAGATGACAACCAAGAAAAGAAAGATGATGAAAGTCATGAAGAAAATGATGGTCTTCCATTAGAGTGGAGAACCTCCAAGGATCATCCAGTTGACAATATTATTGGTGATATCACTAAAGGGGTAACTACTCGCTCTAAGATAAGTAATTTTTGTTATCATCATGCATATGTATCACAAATTGAACCTAAAAACGCTAAGGACGCCTTACTTGATGAGCATTGGCTTATGGTTGTGCAAGAAAATTGAATCAATTTAAAAGAAATGATGTTTGAGACCTTGTTCCTCATTCACAAGATCATCAAATTATAGGCACTCGATGGGTATTTAGGAATAAACTTGATGAACATGGTGTGATAACAAGAAATAAGGCCCATCTTGTGGATCAAGGGTATAATCAAGAGGAGGGCATTGATTATGAGGAGACTTATGCTCCAGTTGCTCGACTTGAGGCTATACGCCTTTTATTAGCTTATGCATGCTCTAAGAACTTCAAATTATATCAAATGAACGTAAAAAGTGCGTTCCTTAACGAATACATAAGTGAAGAAGTGTATGTTGCTCAACCTCCCGATTTTGAAAATTATGAGTTTCCTAATCATGTATTAAAGCTAAAACGTGCATTGTATGGTCTTAAACAACCCCCTAGGACATGGTATGACCGATTTAGTAAGTTTTTGTCAGAACAAGGATACTCTAGAGAGAAAGTAGACACTACACTCTTTATTAAACGTCAAGAAAATCATATTTTACTACTTCAAATCTATATTGATGATATCATTTTTGGATCTACTAATATGCATCTTGTCAATGAGTTCTCTAAGCTTATGCAGAGAGAGTTTGAGATGAGTCTAATGGGAGAGTTAAACTACTTTTTCGGACTATAAATTAGGAAACTTGATGAAGGAACATTCGTATGTCAAACCAAGTATTGTCTCGAATTGCTCAAAAGATTCGGTATAGACGATGCAAAGGAAATTGACACACCTATGACAACAAACGGTAACTTGGATAGAGATGAAAAGAGTAAGGATGTTGAAGTAAAAATGTATAGAGACATGATTGAATTTCTTCTTTATCTTACCGCATCTAAGTCTGATATTATATTTAGCATTTGTATACATACACGATATAATAGAGAGCATTTTTATTATTTTGCTATGGATCTTTAAAAAGACATAAGAGTGTATTAAGAAATTATCGAATAAAAAACAATGAGATATGGGTTATAGCCCAAATCACGGCCCAATTTTAGCAGAGGGTAATTGAAGATGCGTCAGCGACAACTTGGTCAAAACACTTTCCACTCTCCATCAGCGATCAACACTTGATCATCGTTCTGATTTCACTATAACAATTCCAAAAACAAAAGGGATTAGGGTTCCATTCAGAAAAACCAGAGGGAATCAAACATGGCTCGTAATGAAGAGAAAGCTCAATCGATGCTCAACCGTTTCATCACCATGAAAGCCGAAGAGAAAAAGAAACCGAAAGAACGCCGTCCTTTTCTCGCCTCCGAGTGCCGCGACCTCAACGAAGCAGACAAATGGCGTCAACAGATAATGCGCGAGATCGGTCGTAAAGTCGCCGAGATCCAGAACGAAGGTCTCGGCGAGCACCGTCTCCGTGACCTTAACGACGAAATCAATAAACTCATTCGGGAAAAAGTTCATTGGGAGCGGCGAATTGTCGAGCTCGGTGGTCCGAATTACGCTCGACATTCGGCTAAAATGACTGATCTCGATGGAAATATTGTAGATGTTCCAAACCCTAGCGGCCGTGGTCCTGGCTATCGTTACTTCGGCGCTGCGAAGAAACTCCCCGGTGTGCGTGAGTTGTTTGAGAAACCGCCTGAGCTTCGCAAGCGGAGAACTCGATATGATATATATAAGCGAATCAATGCAGCTTATTATGGTTACCGCGACGATGAGGATGGTATTCTTGAACGCCTTGAGGCACCTGCTGAGGAAGGTATGCGAGATGAAGCGAAAGAGGAGTGGCGTCGGCTTGATATGATAAGAAAGGAGGCTAGAAAGGCTGTTCGGAGTGGGGAGGTTGCTGAGGTTTCAACTGCTGCTAGGGAGATACTTCATGAGGAGGAGGAAGATGTGGTGGAGGAGGAGAGGATGAAGGAGAGGGAGATGAGGAGGTTGGATGAGAAACATAGGGAATTTATTGTTCATGTGCCGTTGCCGGATGAGAAGGAGATTGAGAAGATGGTGTTGCAGAAGAAGAAGACGGATTTGTTGAATAAGTATGTTAGTGATGTTCTCATGGAGGAGCAGACTGAAGCTAAGGACTTGCTTAACATTCATCGTTAGCTATATGTAAGTTGCTTACATTATTACATGCTGCAGTTGATTTAGATTAGAGGCAAGCAATATGTAAATTTGATGTTTTCTGAATGAATTATCTAAGGTTATAAATTGCGTTGGATGATGTCTTCATTGAGAGAATTGAAGTGCATTTTGTTGGAATATTTAGGTTTTTATCCCCCAATACAATGATATGCAAATGGTTATGGTTTATCCGGTTATGAGTATAGTTTTTCATCCGACTATTTTTATAGTTTTATGTTTGGTTTATTCTATGTAGCACCGACATCTCTAAGAAAAAGTTGTCTGACATCTACACTTGTGATTACGCTTAATTTATTTATTTTTAAATTATTACTGGTTTCTCCGTGTCATTGTCGGTGTCGTGTTCGGGTGTCTGCCTCGTATTTCTCATATTGTTTTGTGTATCACATAATGTAAAAAGATGTGTAGCCAATGAAGGTCGGCTGAATGATATTGATTCAATTCTTGCTTGTATTTTGTAACTGACACTTAATGAATGCTTTCTCATGGGATAATTATTCAGTTTCATGCATAATTAAAACAACAAATTTTATCCCGTAAAAGTTGGGTCCAGTTCACAAATTCACATGAGTTACTAGTTAGAAAACATCTTCCATTGATCATACTGACTAATACAAGTAGTATAACATGATGTGCGGAAACAAATGGTTGCCAAATATAGATGACTCAAATTTTGAATGAGCGCATGCAGCATTTGAAAACAACTTTTGATTATCATGTCATTTAACAGAAAACCAAGTGGAGTCTTGTATAAGTTTGGGATCTTAACTGGGTCCAGACATGAATTAGGTTTACTTGATAATAAGGACGTGGTTTCAATTTTGAAGTTGGGGAATTCACCGGTGTGTAATACTTGATGCAAAAGAAATTTTGTGAAATGTTGTTGTGAGTTCAATTAGGAATTCCAGTTACAAATGCTTTTGCAGGAACAATTAGGATATGTTAATAATGGGTTAACGAGAAAAACATATAAAATAAAACATTCGGTCTGAAATCATGTCCTTTTCACTCCAACTCTGAGATACTGTTTAGAACTGAAAAAAACAAATGATAAATTGACAGCATCTATGAATCAACAAAAGTTGTTACATCAATTTTTGTTGATCTAACTTTTTCTTATATTTATAACTATATTTAGAATCCAAAAGAATGAGCATAAAGAAATGGATGCAGTTAGTATTCCTTTTCTTCAATTCAATACATGGAATGGAATTAAGGATATCCACATGGCTTATATGATGACGATTCAAAAGATTTATTTGTGTTTGGTATATTCAATTGGAAACAGAACTATGATTCATCACTAGTGCCTAGTAGTATATGTTTGAATATACTCTGTTATTTTTCTTTGAATTTGTTATATACTCCTTAGTTTTAATACTTAGAAGTCTTCTGTCTCTGTGTTGGAAACTTGGAACATGCTGTGCATATACTCTCCATTATTATTTCGTTGACACGACTAGATTGGACTGCTTTGTGTTTGAATCAGGTTACACATTCTTGTTTTCTAAATTTATATTCATGGCCTACAACAATACTAATGAGCCCTTGCTATTGAGATCATAGCATTACTGCAGCTCAAAAGGCTAAAGGACGGCCAAACCAAATAAAGCTCCTCTGTTATTGACCTGCTCCTCTGGTGACAAACGGCAAAGTATCAATTCTCCTTTCTCAGTCTATGTTTGGGAATCTACATTCAAGCTTTAGAAAAGTTGATATAATCCTTATGGTCTATTTAGGCGTAAAAACATCATTCTTCTGTGTTGTCAAGAACCAGATCAAGGTAATGAAAACTGATAGATTCCTTGATGCCCTATACTTTACAATTGTGACAAGGTGATAGATTCCTCAATGGTGACATTGTTCCCAATAGCGACCTTACAAAACTACTCGCTCACACTTTTGTTTTCTACATAATGGCATTGATTAGACTAATCCTAAGCAAATCAGTATATTACTTGGTTGAGAAACGAGAAATTTTGTTAATTAAAGTCATGCACATGCACCTAAAACTTCTCGTTAAATATATGCACCTGAAATTTTAAAGGATCCTGAGACCAATAAAACAAGATACAAATATATTTGGTCTTTTTCGTTCTTCTGGTTCTCGTTTTTGCAGGGACAATCTTCGTAGTCACTGTTGAAAAACTGGATGTTAGTGATGCATTGTACTGTGTTTGTTCAACAATTACCACTCTTGGGTTATGGAGATAAAAGTTTCTCCACTCAAGCTGGAAGAATATTTCCTGTGTTTTGAATATTAACGGATACTATTTGCTTGCTTAGTTTTTCTGCTACGTGGCTGAACTAAACACTGAGAATAGACAAAAGGCACTTGTCAATTGATGTTCTTTAGTTCTTACAAGGAAATTGACAAATTTTTTATTTGGAAGCTGCTGATCTTGACTAGGATGGCACTGTTGGGTTAGTTGATCTTTCTTTCAAAATTGATTCTAGATGTGATTGTTACATGTTTGGATGCTCTCAAAAAGAAAAGATTTTGTCTCCATAATTGATTCTATCTCGAAGCTAAAATTATGAGCTTATGATTCTAGAATATATTTTTATACTTAAATTTATCGTTCAACATATGCTTATACACTTAACACGTCATTTGATTCATATATTTTCAACTAAATATTCCACATTCTACCCTCACTTACTGTTGTCATTTTTAAAATTATTTTAGTAAGCTATGCACTTGTATTAGTGATGTGTTAAACCGGCCGATTTTAACCAGTTTAATCGCAGATCCGATCTATGGTTTTTAAAATTACGGTTATCAGTAAGAAAAATTAATATTCTTATCAATATTAATACAAGTTCATTGCATATTTTGACAACGCGTGGATGCTTTGAACTTCATTCTTTTCATAAATAATTAATGATTTATACATGGATTATGAGTGGGATATTTAGTTCATTTTCATGAAGTTTTGTTGACGATATTTTAAGGTAGAAAAATGAGTCGCATTCTTTTGGATTATTAAAAGTAATGTTAAATTTTTTGATTGAGAAATACTATAACATGGTTCATTTTTGAGTTTTTCTTAACAATGTTTTAAGGGAATTGCTTCTCTCACCCTTAGTAGTGGAGAAACATCCTAAGAAAATTTGAAAATGCCTCTTAGAATTTAGAAATGTATTACTGGACATATCATTTTTACACCAAGACATGTCATAATTGAGTTTCACTTTTCTTTTTCTTTCAAAATTTAGTTCGGAAGTGCATTTTTATATGCACCATTTTCACATCAAAACATTTCCTAAGTGAGTCTCATATTTTTTCCTCCAAAATTTAATTTGGATATGTACTTTTGAATTCACTATATACGCATTCCATACATTTCTATCTGAGTTACATTCATTTTGAAATAAATTAATCTAGAGATGAAGAAGCATCTTTGTATTTACCTAGACAGTAAATTGTGAGTTTGTTTTAGAGATATACCGATGTAATTGACGATGTATTATACTTATATTATTATATTATATTTTATATAAATTAAATCATATACTTATCAAATAATATGAAAATGCCATATATATAAATGAGTAAAGTCAAAATCCATAATGAAATCAAAGTAAATTACAAACGGTAATAGTGCTTCTAATATAAATATAATATGCTATTGAAAATGTCAGACTCAGACCCCTTATTCTTATGTTGCCTCGAATATTACAATGTCATATGTGCCTCATATAGGATGACATCTACAATGTCCTTTGTCTCAGAGCCTTCTGAAAAGACTTCTATGTCTATACATGTCTGCACAATATCCATGATACGTCGATATTTAGACAACACATCAATAATATGATTTGCCCTAGCTTGTTCCTCCTTTAATATCTCTTGATGAGCTTATCCAAGGGGATCATCCAGAGCATCCAGTGTCATAAGGATATGAAACCTTGAAATATCACATGATGTAGTTGTATGCAACGCTCCAATCACTAGGAGTTAGGGTACCATCATCTGGTACCAGATGAGTAAGGTAATCATCATACATGTGTCATATCCCAAATTTGTCCGCCTTAGTGCTACCGTCAAATTTATTTTCGAATTTGGGTGTTACAAATATAAAATTTCTTTGATTTAATTATATTAAGCATTCTGAGTTTTTTAAAATATTCACTTCGAAACTTATTTAAAAATAGAAGGATCTATATCAGATCATTTGTATTTTTGAATAAATAAATATTTGTCCGTCTTCATATACTTTCAATTAACTTCTCATTTCAAATAAATAACGTAACACAATTGGTAAGGAAACAAGCTTGCAAATATAAGGTCGCAAGTTTGAATCTCTCATGTTGTACTTTTTAACATTTTTTATATTTCTTTGTTTATTATTATTAATTTTATTTTATAAAAATTATTTTTTAAATATTTAAATATTAAATTTCGTATTTTTAATTAATGAATTTTTAAAAAATAGTTATTTTTATTTTTTTCACTTTTTATTCTAAAAATAACCAAAAAAATCTAAAATACAAAAAGATTTAAAAATATTTTGTTATCTTTTGTATTTTAGGTAGTAATATTTGTTTTAGGAGAGAATCAATGTAATTGGTTACAATAATTATAAATTCAAAATTTTGATTTCTTTTTGGGGTTTAATTATTTGGATTGGTGTTTTATTTTATTCTATTTTGTTAATTTCATTTCAATTTCAAGTTACATTCAAATCTTTCCAAAAATCATGTTTTTTATTATTTAAATATTATTTTCGTTTTTTTATTTTAAGTAATTTTTAATAATAATGTTTAATTTATTTTATGCATTTTTCGTCAAAAAGTATCTAAAAATTCACTAAAAAAATCAAATCTCTATCTATCAAATCAAAATTCACATTACAAATCAAATCTGGAATTATACAACAAATTGAATCAATTCACATCAATTAACAATAACACTAAATCCCTAATTGTCTCTAATTCCTAAATTTGCGTTAATTAAA